GCTGGAATCTTAACCTACATGCTTTGAGCTGAGCGTACCCTGCCCAGAAAACATCTTCCAGGATCTGAAAGTGCATTTGAAGATGTGTTTTGAAACGGCTTTTGCTGTTACGTGCCATCAAGTCGTCTCCGACTTGCGGCAACCTTATGAATGAAAGCCCCCAAACGTCCTATTCAAGACATCCTGGCTTAGCTGTTCAATTCAAGGCAGTGGCTCCCTTCCATAGTCGTTCCTCCTTGTCTTCTGCTGCCTTCAACTTCCCTTGGCACAATGGTCTTCCCCAGTGAATCTTGCCTTCTCATGCTGTGTCCAAAGTATGACAGCCTCAGCTTCGTCATTTTTTCCTTTTAGGGAAAGCTTGGGCTTGATTTGATGTAGGACCCACTATCCCTCTTAAAACATGAGATCCTGAGGTTGGTGAAAGCATTTTCTTCTCCAACCATGTGGACACAATTTACTCTTCCCTGTTCCAAGCCAACTTATAAGCCAGTTACAGAGCAATCCTGCCCATGTTTAGGCAGAAACAAGGCCTACAACTTTGGTATGACTTGTTTTTCCCTAGACGTACATAGGATTTGCCACTGGGTGTGTGGAGCGCTGGACTAGATGGGCCTTTGATTTGACCTAACATGGCTTTTCTCACGTTCTTATGCTTCTGCCTGGGGCGTGGACACCTCAGCTGATCTGAGAAGCACCCACAGATGTTTCTCATGCCTCTTATGCCAAGCAGGCAGTCTACTTGCTTTAAAGAAAAAAACCCCAAACCCCCCTTAATCTTCAAACCACGCTTGTTCATGCTTTTTTGTATAAATAAATGCATGTTTATGTTTCTTAAGCACCAAAAATGTTCACAAAGGCTGAAAGTGGCAGTGTGCACATGTGCGTGTGTGTGTGCATGCGCAAGCATGCATTTTCGTGACATCACTGGCCAATAGGTAGCCACCAACCTGATTTTTCTGATTTGAACTGAACTGCGTCAAAAATCTACAGATTGATTCCCTTTTCCCACCCTCCCTGAAAATCACCCAAGGACAAAAAGGGAAATACAAAGGTATGTGTAAATAAAAATGTGCAGTGATAGAACCATCATGCTACCACTCTGAAAAACTTACATCCATATTCACCCTCACTTAGAACAATGCAGACACCCCCAGATCCAAGGATGTATATCATTGTATTCCCTCTCAGATTAATTCAAGCTAGCCCTTACGGAAGCCGAGTCCCATTTCTATCTTCAGTGCCCAGGACTTGTGAAAGAAAGAAGTGAGTGTATTAGAGCATGTGCAAAATGCCCTTCCCTCCCCACAACTGGAATTAAGGACTCAGGCTTGGAGGGCAAAGGCTGGGCCTCTTCTGCAGTGGCGTGCTGGAGCCGGGGTTTGCCGGGACTCGGTGCTGGCACCGCTTCCCCAGCAGGTCCGATGCTGCCTTCAGCCGTGCACACAAATGCCCCCTTCCTCCTGAGCATACTCCCATTCCTCACAGCAGCTGGGAAGAAGCAATTTTTCTCTCCAGCAGCCATGGAGTGTTCCCTGTTACATTTCAGGAGCAGCTTAGTCTTGAGTGGGCAACGAAGACCCATGAAATACAGAAGACCGGCTCCTGGGAGAGACTTGTTGAGATGGATCAATGCCGTTGCCTGAATTTTTGGACTCCTTCTGGGGGCACGACCACGGTCAGGAGAAGCCCCATGCTCAGCCTCTACCTCTGCCTGGCATCTAGCCTGCCCTTGTATGTCCCACAAAGCTCTTGACTTGCGGCTCACTGGGGCATTGTGGGAAATGTAAAGGCTAACCTGACCTCACCGCTCCACCACTGCTATGGCTGCCGAGTAAGCCTGCTGGGGCCCAGAGGCTGGGTCCCCAAAACACCCCCTTGCCCAGGGCCTTCTGGATTCGGGAACTGGCCCAAAACATTGCCCCTCTCCTTAGTCACACACCAGGCCTGCTGCTGCACCGCCTTGGGAGGCCCTTGCTGGCGCAGCTGCTCCATCTTCTCCTCGTGCTGGCGCTGGCGCTCGTTCTCGTCGTGTTCGTATTTCAGCCTGGTCAGCTCAAACTCCATCCGCCTCTTCTCCAGCTCCGTTTCAATGGCCAAGTCCAGCCTGCTGCTTGACCACTCGGGCTCTGCCCCGCTGACCACAATGCGGGGCACCTGAAGGCCCAGGTGTTCCGTCACCCCATCATTCTGCTGCTCTGGGGGGTTCCCTGCTTCGGGGAGAGGCTCCCCCCGTGGTTCTGCCTTGGGGCTTTCCCGAGGCCTGCCCATCTCACAGGGCGGTCTCTGGTCATGTGTCTCTGGCAAGCAGACTTCCACAGCCAGCTGGACCTCCAGCCTCATCTTTCCAGCTTCGGCAAGGGCCACCGACGATGCCTCTCCTGCAGCTTCGGCCAGGCCACCGACAGCAGCTTTCTGGCTTACCACTCGGAAACTTCCGTGCCGCTGGTGCAGGCGCTCCATCTTTTCCTCATGCTGCCGCTGCTTCTCCTTTTCCTCATACATTCGCTGCTCGTGCCGCCTCTGCTTCTCGTTCTCCTCAGAGATTTGCTTCAGCTTGGCCAGCTCAAACTCCATGCGCATCTTCTCTAGCTCAATTTCTGTGATTGGATCCAGCTTGCTCACGAGCCGCTGCTCTTCCCCATGGGACCCCGTCCGGGATGGTGACTGCTGGCGGATCTGCTCCATCTTCTCCTCATGCTGACGCTGCCTGTCATTCTCCTCATGCTGATGCTTCAGGATGGCCATCTCAAAGTCCAGGCGCATCTTCTCCACCTCGCTGCCATTTCCATGGGTATGCTGGGCATTTCCCTGCTCCGCCTCCTTCAGAGGGCTGAGCTTTTCCTCTTTGTGGTCCTTCTTACCCTCCTTGGCAATGGCTTCTAATTGCAAAGGGTTATGGATGGCTTCCAGCTGCCTCCTGGTCTCTAATGGTGTTCGCTGGTCTCCATTAGCCAGGATATCAGCCACAACTGTGGGTACCAGTGGCGGTGCTGGAGGATCTCCATTGGCATCCTAAGGCATGTGGGGAGGGAAGCAAATGAAGCATGCACTTCTGAGAGGGGATAATGAATAAAGTCACAGGGGACAACTATCAATCAATCATCTATCCCTCCATCCCGCCAGCCAGCCAGCCAGCCCTCCCTCCCTCCCTCATCTTTGCAATGTTCTACTCCTAAATGGACCTACTGCACATGTTGGAAAAGTTCTATTCCACAGGAGACTTTGTTCCAGGATAGATCAGGGTTCAGAAAACCTTTGTGATTAACAGAATGGGTCTCAGAAGTTTATAACGGCACATAGAGAGGAGGAAAGTGAGGTTTTCCTTGTCTTAGTTTTTGGACATATAAAGGAGACCGTCTCATGTGAAGCCACTCTGCTGTGCCCTGGTCTGGAGGGGCTTGCTCTGTTTGCCGGCTGTGTGCATGGTTCACCCTGACCAGAAGGATATTGAAGCCAGAGCCCTGAGGGGCAGATGGAGGTGAGTGAGTACAGGGGAATTCTGTTGTTTGCAAGGACATCTGTGGGAAGAACAACCGAGTGGACAAAGGGCCACCGATTGCAGGAGAAAATCAGGAAATGGCCCTCCTCTCCTGGTTACTGTGATGGAGTGCTTTTTATACAAGGCATTTCCTGTGCACTCAGGATTCCCTGCTGATTGTCTGAAATTGACCTCATGACCCTCCAGTTTCACTTTTGTTTTTAAAATGCATCACTCCAGACCACAGGGCATGCTGGCTGACATGGATGAGAACTGCAGCCCAAAACAGCTGGGGAGCATAAAGCTGGGAAGGGCTCATACAGAGACACTGAGGTTCAACTTCCCTCGGGCCTGAAGCTCTCCTGGCCTGGTAGCAGAGCTGGGCACTATCAGACATTTGCCACCAGCCTGAGGCCTTCGAAACACCCATCTCCTCTTCCTTTCCCTTCCCATGGTGCAGGTGGGACACTGCAGCAGCAAAAAGGGAACAGAGGAACACTAGCCTAGTTGGCAGATGCCGCTCTTGCAGCCGCCATTTTAGTTCCTGTACCATGGGACCAAATGGCCCCAGAAGCTTTGATGAGGGGCTTAAATGGTGGGTTCCCAGCAGGCAGACCAGCATTTTCTGTTGCTGGCTGATGCCTGCCTCCCACATAGAGAAGGGGAGGTGAACTTTGAAGAGCCTCCATATGGAAAAGAGGATTTACTCCTTCTACTTGCTAGGAAGGGGACTTCTCCTTTGCTGGCAGGAGAAGAGGCTTTCCCAGTTCTGCTGTTGGTGCCCCTCTGAAGCCTGCTGCCAACCCTGCTTGGGCCACTCCCAGCCTGACCTACCTCACAGGGTTTTTGTGAGTACAGAATGAAGGAGGGGGATGTGAGTCATCCACATGGCCTTGACCTCCAGGATAGAAAGGCAGGATATACACAGATTTGAAAAGAGTAAAAACAAAGTGAAAGGCCAGAGAAAAAAGAGGACAGGCTTGGCTCTTACCATGGAGAGCTTGGGCACAGAGCGACTTGGACCCTGCACATGCAGAGACGCATCGTCTGTCGGCCCGAGTCCCCCGCTCGGCCAGATCCCTGCCGCCCCACGGCGCAGAACCACATTCCACACCAACTGTCTCATGAGGTCACAAGATTCCAGGCGCAGGCAGCGGCCGCCACATTCTCCCAGCACCCGCCTGGCGAGAGGCACCCACCCTGTGCAGCAGGCCGGGTTCGGCCAGGCCAGATCTTAGCTCCGCAGCAGGACACATGCTGGGCACGCCGGAAGAGCCCCTGATTCAGGCTCAGGCGTGTAAAGCGGAAAGCCCCAAGGGACGGCCCTCTGAGAGTCAGGGAAGCTTCTGCCAGCCTGCGAAGGCAAGGCTGGGCTCGTGATGAGCGGAACGAATTGGTTCAGGCTTATGCACACAGATCAGGGATCCGCAGCCACAAGAAAGAAGTTTCTCATTTCTGCTCCCTTGGACTCTCACTGCACTGCAATGCCCATTTAGATGCAGGCTGTTAGGCACGTACGAAGATGAGCAACAAAGAGCAATTAACGAACAAGCGCCACTTCCTTCGCTCCCCTTCGTCTTGGAGCAGCCCCTCATTTAGTATGCAAGTGGGAAAGATCACACCACCACGAAAACACCTTCGCAACCTACCAGAGAGAGTTAGGTGTACAGCATGTTAACTTTTACATTCATGATGTATCAAAAGATGCTCCAAGGGCCACACGGGGCGCTTAGCTGGAACAGTTCACTGAGTGTTGTTATTCTGTAGAGTAAACTAACTTTTCACACACTTGCTGCGTGTTCATTGGGGATTTACGCACACCAGAACATGAACCTGTCTGCTTTCTGGGCAACATGAGGGATTTGTGGAGTGGCCAATAGTCTCCACACACCTTGTGTCCTCTGTTTGATTACACTCTTTGTTGTTTTATTGGTTTCAAGCAGGAAAAAAAGCACATTTCAAATGTGGAAAATGTGCATCATTAAAAAAAGAGGGGGTTACCCTAATGCACACTTTCCCCCATGAAAAGGATGAAAATATACATTTTCAAAAGAAAAGTATTTTTTAGAAGAAAGAAAGAAAAATATTTTTTCTTTTAAAAAGTGTACTTTTTTTTCCTAATGCAGGTTTGGCAATTTGTTATCTTTTTAGGAGAGAGTGCACTTTTGCTGCTGTTCTCCAGGACTGGGAGTAGGAACTGCTCACATAAATAAAATTCTCTGTGAGAATTCCCTGGTTTGAACAACCTCATGTTACACAGTCTCTGATGTGCTTTAGTTGCACCCTATAATGGATTTCGAAAATCTGCTAGACAATGATGTGGCACTCTTGGAAGAACCGAAAAAACACAACTGATTTTGCTGGCACCATTGTTTCTTCTCTGTGAAGTCCGTTAAAATGAGAGAGAGAGAGAGAGAGAGAGAGAGAGAGAGAGAGAGAGAGAGAGAGAGAGAGAGAGAGAGAGAGAGAGAGAGACCCCTGTGGAATTTCACAGTCATGCATTGTTTTCCTTCTGTGGGCCATGGCCCTAAAAAGAGCTCATAAAGACTTTGGTGTGTGGGGGGCACTTGGCCATGTAGCAGGCATGAATTTCAGAATTAAGCTAATTAAAAAAGAACAAACCTTCCTTACCCCTCTGAGAGCTGGTGATCTATCTGTGGTGCTGACCCCCCACCCTTTAGGTTCATCACCATGGAGCACTAGCCTATAAAGCTCAAAATGAAAGCTGCAATGGATAAGGAGCTGTCCGAAAGGGGCATCAGAAAGGCTTTGAGAGTCTTTAGCAGAGATGCCAATTCCACTGGACACTCCCTTCCTTGGGCATCTTGCACGTGGGATATTACTGAAAAACTACATTTCCCAGAACCCCCAGCGGCAGGGATATCAGCACTGCAGGGCTGCAGGAGCAAGGAAGAAAGGACTTGGAGGCACGTGCAACCGGCTGGGAATGTGCTTCAAGCTGCAGAAGAACCCTTCTTAATCCATAAAGCTGCCACGTGTTACGAGCTAGACCAATTCTTGCTGGCCAAGTCACCAGAACTGAATTTTGGCAACAGAAAAAAATAAAGTCAATTCAACAAAAAAGCATTGTGAAAGAACAGAACCCTCCTCCATTTTTGTATTCAGCTTACTTTTGCAATACTATGGAGTTAAATCTTTCCTGAACACAGGCTTGTAAATTCCGTCCAAAAGCTTAATAGTTTAGAGGTTGAAAGATTTGAAAGAATGTAGAGGTCAGGAGGTGAGGAGATTATGAAGTTAGCTGGACAGGTTTACCCTGACTGCTTTATGCTTTATATGTTCTTTTAGTATTGCTTATCTATTTCATTTATATACCATCCAATAGTTAAAATTTTCTGAGCACTTACTATGCTTAAAAACCAAAAAAACAGATATAATGAAAATAGCATTAAACTCAGTACAAATTAAACAATTGAAAAAAACTAAGGAGCTAAATACATTGAATAAACTACACAACTGTGGACAGAGGTCCCTCCAAATTGTGCATGTTGTGCATTTGTCTATTCAGCTTTTCAATCTTTTTCCTATTGACACTTTTCTTCATTCAAATTTAAATGATGTCATTTGAAATGCGGTGGTTTCTGACATACCCTATAGAGCAATTTATACATTAAATAAAAATAAAAAGGATGGATAGATGAACAAGTCACTGCTTGTTGACCTTCCCCCTGCAAAAGTTCTTGATACACTGACAACAGCTGAAACTTTGCAGAAGGTTTTCCCCAGATAAAACGCAACTCACCCAATAAAATCCAAGCAAGATGGCAACCACAAAACTTGGCCTCCAAGGACGCAAACAAACTAGGGTAGATAAAGGAAGTTTGTATTATAAGTAAACTTGTTTGGGACCCAAGGGTCCTTCATCTTGCCATCCACACTAAATATACAAATGTTTTGTTATAAAACTGAAGCACAATTGTTCAAAAAGCTGCAATGAGATAACACATAGCATAAACTTAATCAACATATATACTTTGAATGTTTCTACGTGGAGCTCGCACTGTATGTCAGCCTGGCCTACCTTACAGGGTTGTTATGAGGCCAACATGAGGAAAAAACAACTTGCCTTCTATTGATTACCTGGAGAAAAAGCAAGGTGTCCATTTTTAATGTAAGAAATTCAGCCATTTCTCTAACTTTTTCATTGAAATTGAAAGGGTGGCGGGGGATTCACTTGGGCTGGATGGTCCCTGCTCTTCTCCAATTCTGTGTACTTGCAACATCTTCTCAAAAGCAAGCTACCACAATAAACAATTTCAGGAATCACACCATAGAGGGGAAATTTAAGCTTGGCAGCAGGTGTGTCTCTGACACACTCATGGCCAACGGACACTAAAGAAGATACAGAGGTTCATGGAATTCCAAGGCTTGTTTGGTAGAAGCAGACAAGAGGAGTAAAGATTTCCATCCAATCGCAGCAGAAAGAGGCCCCCAGAAAAGGGCAAAACTGAGTGGGGGCAGGTTGTGTTTCTTGTTTTCCCTTCTACACGTGGGCTAGAGTGCCACAGTCTGTGACAGGCAACAAACAAGGATAAAGGCAGCATTATCACGTCTCTCAGAGTGCCAGACAGTGACCTTGGGACATCAAAGAAATATCGCTGCAATTTTCCAATGGCTTCTGGAACCACAGAACTGGAAAGATATATAGAAGCGATGTATGAGGAAGGGCTTTTTGGTTTGTTTCTTTTAAAAAACCTGTTCATTTTGTTTGCTGGGAGTCAGGAATCTGGCTTATCTATGGCAAAGCACTCAGAAAGCTACCGGTAGATTCTGGTCTCTGATCTGCCCACCTTAAATCCCCTAATTTCAGGATGTACTTCCATGCATGTGTAGGCTAAGAGTGGAAGACTCTTTTTTTAGATTTAAACCCACATAGGATGGTGTTCTTAATTATATCACTGTGCTTGTCCATTCGAGTCACATTTCTTCTGCCTTTCTCTAGGAAATGGCTCCAAGGTGGCCAACGGCAGTAGTGATAAACACGCAGGCGTGTTTTTCAGGCCGCACGGGGCCCTAGGGCAGGGGTAGGCCGAAAGTCGCCCCTGCAATGTCTTGGACTTCAGCTTCCAGCACTCCTGGCCACAAGTGATGCTGGCTGGGGCTTCTGGTTGATGCTGGGAATTATGGGGAGTCCCAATCCAGAAGATCTGGAAGGCGCCAGGCTGGGGGAGCTTGCCTCATTACACATCTGGCCCCGATTCATCATAAAAGGAAAATGGCCCCTCTACTCAGTGTATCCAGCCGGGCTCCTTGGCAATTTACAGAGGGCACCTTAGCAACACTTGCCCTGCTGTTGTAGTTACAGCCACATTATGATGTCATCACAGTGGGCACCATTGTGGCAGTTCAAGAAAGGGCCGGTGGCTCGCATGTGAGCAGTGAATTTCTGCTTCAAACTGGGCAGCTGGTTTCAGTTCTTCTACATGGGGCAGGCAGGGAAATAGAGGCGTCTGCCTAGAAATCCAATGCACATTCTCTTTCCAGGATTAAATCTGCTATGGTAAGAAGTGGCAGTCGGTCGCTCTCTTTTAAAGCTGCACAGAAGTAGGTGGGGTTTCAAAGACCTGGAGCTGACATGAGAAGACTGGCCACACACAGAGTCCTTTTTGCAAGCTCGGGATGGACTCCAGGCAGGTTGTGGAGGGCGAGCTCCAGTGGTTCGACTTCTAGACGATTGGGCAGATCCTTAGCAGTGAAACCACTGGACATTTTGAAGTAATTCGCTTTGGCTGGATCGTGTGCCACGGTTCCTCCCAGCCCATTCCAAGTTTGCAAAGCTGTGCGGTTGTGGGTTTATCATGATTTTTACTGCAAACCCTTCTACTGACAATTTGTCAGGAAACCAGTCAATACCCTTTAATATAAACTAACCAAGCCAATCCACCTGAAATCTGAGATATCAAACTGTTATTGGCCCGAGGGCTAGATTCGCTGCCCCCCACCCCAATCTGGTGGCTGGGCTGCACCAGGGCAGTCGAGTTTGTCCCTGAAGTCATCCTTACCCCACCCCACCCATTTTGGGAAAATGGCAGGGCACTTGGAGGAACCGCTCTTCCATGGACCTTATGCAAGCACCGCTCACCCTCCCAGTCAGACCAGTAAGCGGCACAGGAACTGTCACTTGGCTGGGGCCTCCTCCATCTGCTGCTCAGCATCCCAGTTTGGGTGGCGCATGGTGCACAGATGGGAATCCCTGAGGTTATCTCTGATCAGGAATGGGAGATAACGCTGGGACTCCTTTCTGGGCAGGCCACATTCAACCCAAGGGTCAGAGGTTCCTATTCCTGACATAAATTGTGGCCATGGCAGCTCCCTGTGGCAACTTCACCACATTCTTGGCCGTTTTCTGGCCATTGCTGTTGCATGAGATGAAATGCAAACTCTCCCCCAACCCTCCTTTCATCTCCCCCAGGAAACAGCCAAAGAGCCCCATTCATCCTCTGATTTCTCCAACTTCGAGACAGAGTCTGTGCATCACACAGACAAGGAGATTCAAGCAGATCTGGATCATACCAGCAATCTGGAAGGGTCTGACTATTCTTACCAAGGAGGCAATGCAGAGTTCAAGGAAATGCAGGCAGGAATTGAGTTTGCTGTGCAGATAATGCCAATTAAGGATCCCAAAAGGCACAGGGAAAATCCGGTAAGTGGCAGAGACCGGTAAGTGGCAGAGACCAGAGGCCGGAGGGGATGGTGCAGAAGGTGCCTTCACAGGAGGAGAGAAAGTCTGCTGAGGAGAGTGAGGAACCTCATGAGGAAGCTCCTCAGATGGAGGTCCCCCATCACCACCTTCAGGGCATTCTGGGGTGGTTCAGTCATGGATCTGCTGGGCCTTTTACCTCCCCCCACCCTAAAACAGCACAGCTAATTGTTTCTCCCTTGAAAACAACTGCAGGAGCAGGGGGAATTTAAACATAAAATGGAAGAAAAACAACTGCTGGGGAACCCATTACCTGCTTCGAATAAGCTGATTGACTTTGGAAGCTCAGTGATCTTTTTTTAAATAATAACAATAACTGTAATAATGATCAGCCAGGGACTGGGGAAGTGCTAGAGGCTGTTCTGGGCAGGGGATGGGTACCAGGAACCTTGACTGGTGGGGGAAGGATGAGGATTCGGGGAGTAGGATCCAGTTTGCTGGCCGCAGTGCTCAGCACCACGTGTGTGAGCTGCCCTGCACAACCCTGTGTTCACCAGGTGTGTGAAGGGGCTCCTTCATGGGAAGCGGGTGCCAGTCCAGGCAGGGCCTCCACTTGTCCTGAGGATCCTTCTGCAGGCAGACTGGCACTTCTCACAGTTGCAAGTGTGTGGCTGGAGGGGGACATGAACTGCGTGGACATTGGCCGCCAGCGCTAGCCTGCATGGTCCTCCGACCCCTTCATGTGTTCTTGTAGTGCTGGAAGGTAGGTCAAATCAGCATGCATTTCTAATATGGCCTCTTGGAATTCAGTGGCACTTCCTTCCAAGTAACCTGGATGCAATTGCACCATAAGTTCCTAAAAGCAGGTCAATCCCACCATAATAATTACCTGAGATTTCCTTTCCTTTTAAAAAGAAAAATACCCTTCCATTTTATTCAGATGGTAGATTTTTGGATCCAATGCAACTGATAAAAGAATGTCTGTGCAAATGCAGAAGGCAAGGCATGCATTACAAAGCAAGCCAGCAGCATCAAATGATTTGAAACTACTCACAAAGATACAACTAGCAGAGCACAAGTGCCCAATTAGGTCCAGCCAAGCACATCAGCTTCCAAGCAGCTGATGGAATAAGACAACAGTCTGAATCAATTGCTCCAAAACGTTGGTTTTGAACAAGAGATGGGTGAAATCTCAGCTTTTGTCAGTTTCTCATTCTTCCAGTTTTAAGTTTGGTTTGTCCCAAACACAATTTTTCCAGTCTTAAATTTGGTTACTCCTGAACTTTAAGGAAAAGCTTTGCATTAAAATTGGTACACATTTTTCTGTGCATTTCTCCAAATACACATATTCTTACTGTGATTTTGCCTGATATAGGCATATTTGGCAAGCAACCTTCCTAACGTAATGAGATTTTAACATTATTTTCACAAGTCCACTCTGCTGTGTGTGCACTTTCCCCTAATAAACGCAAATTAATATGGATATTTGGATTGTAGAAATCCATTGCAAAATTCGACAAAGTGCAAATGTTGAAGGATAAATAAGTTTTGGCTCATCCATTGCTTTGAAATGTGGTAAATTCACATTCAGGTGAAAGCTGAATAAATTTTCACACCAGTCATGGTACCACTACCTGTCCCAGGTGAGTCGCTTCAATACCAGGTGTTGAGCAACAACTCTGCAAAAGTAACACAGCCATCAAGGACCGCTTAGGAAAGCTTCCATTTGTGGGGCTTTATTCCCCTTCACAACCCTTTTCTCATTCAGATCTTAAGCTGGGTAGCGTTCCCAAGGAGCCAACCCACAAAGAGGGTAATCCTCAGACAGCTCTCGAGATACAATTGTTAACTAAGCCTCATGATTAACAGACCCATCACAGGACTGAGATAAGGGAATGAACCATACAGAGGGAGGAGCACTTGTGCCTTACAGCCCTTCATGAAGACAGCTGGAGCGAGGCCACCTCCGCTGCGCCAAGGGAGCTTCCTTTTCCAATTTCCCAGTAGGACACCAGCATCCCCTGTGAAGGGGCCCCGGCACAGGCCACCTGTGCCCTGCATGTCCCCACCTCATCCCTGTGCCAGGCCGACAAGGCCGGCAAATGACTCAAGGGGAGAGTTTTGGCCCTTTGGCCAGGAGCACTTAAAGTGGACCGAGGCGTTGCTAGGGAAGAAACACAGCCACTGGTTGGCTGCTGGGATGGGAAAGAGGACGGCGATGAGACGGACCTTTGCCTGAGCCCACCAGCCCCTTTTTAACATCTTCCGTTCTTCAGGCAGCCACTGCAGAAAAGTTCCTTATGGGAAAAACCGCCCATGCCAGCTGAAAACGGCAACTCGCTGAGCTGAGCGTTGTGCCAACACAGTCGCTTCTTCTGTCCTCCTTGCTTTCAGGACACTGCAAGGGACACCCCCGCCTCTTCCTACATCCCTGATGATATGACGGAGACCCTGGAAAACAAGAGCCAGGCAGAGCGCCTGGCCAACAGCACTCAGCGGGGGACCAGTGCTTTGCAGACCGGCGCGTACTCCCGGATCGGCGTGGCCAGCAGTCTGGAAGGGATGGGTCCCCTGAGCAGCCGGCAGATCACGGCGGCGGATCTTGACCTGGAGAAGCTGAGGCTGGATGGTGCGATGGCCAGGCTGAAGTACAGACACGAGGATAATGAAAAGCGGCGGCGGCACGAGGAGAAAATGGAGCAGCTGCGTCAGCGGACGGTTGCACGATCCGTAAGTGATGTGCGAGAGCGGGCAGGCTACGCAACCCTCCGATAAGCGTTGCGCTGGCTAAAGTGCTGGCTTCAGCCCTGTGGCCGGAGGGCCTGCCCACCTCTGTACTCAGAGGCCCATGAGCCCCCTATGCCCAGAAAGAGATGCTGTGGTGGCCATCTCAGCTGCTGCTGTGCCTCTCTCCTGCTTGTTCATCCAGATGGGCGTTCCTGGCCACTAAGGATGTGGGTGGCGAGGAGGTCGGGACACCACTGGCGCTGGTGCAAGGCTGTGGCCAGAACGCCCTCCCTCCCTGCCCCAGGCATGCCCCTCTCCCCTCTGGGGCTTAATCCTATAATCATACAGCCTCTCAGATGTTCTCAGGAGGCCTTAGGATTCTGCCTCAAATCCATGGCCATCGGCATGGCTCAGGAGGCTGCTTCCACCTGTGGAGCACCTTGACAGCCTGCTCCAGCATATCCAGGTTGTATCTCTTAAGATGGTGCCCTTCTCTAAAGGATCCTGGGAATCCTGAGAGCTTGGCCAAGGCCTGCCCAAAGGATTTTGCCATCAAGGCAAAGAACAGGGCCGGCTCTGAATTGGGCTGGTTCTTTGTAAAGGGTCCCCTTATGCAAAAATTCTGCTCCCAGGTTTCCAAACAAGAATGAATCGCTGTGAGCAAAGGGCCTCTTGAAACCCCACACCCCTTTTGTGGGCAGAAAAACTATGGGGAGAGGGCAGGAACGTTAGGCAGCATCTCTCTAGAGGAAGGAGAAATTCCCAAGCAGTGCCCTGGGGGTGGAACGCAGCACCAGCCCTAGATGCAACCCAGCTTCTGCTTTTTGGCCGCTGAGTTTTTGCTTCATTGTGCTGCCACTGGAGGAAAGCTGATTCCATCAGTGCTCCAGCCTCCTCCCCCCGTCCCCTTCCCCCACGCTCAGTCCAAATGGCCAAAAACAGCCGTCTAGACAAAAGAAGTGTGAGATGCGGTCGTGGCTGGATTCCCTACTGCTCACGGGCATGCCTTGCATCAAATGCTCATGCGCGTCCAGAAGCTCACGAGCATCTGCCATGAGGTGGTAGGCCTGCTCCCCAAGTCAGGCACATTTCCCATAATATCCTGGGCGCGTCTCTTCAGAAATGAGTTCAGTGCGATGCACACTCACTCCGGAGCAGGTCCCGCTGCATTCAGCAGAGCTCGCCTCCGGACAGACGTGAAAAAGACGGCTTTGTGCCCTTTCGGCGGTTTATGCACCGAGTGCTGGGGCAGCGGATGGAGGCAAGCGCTTTATTGACAGACACATCCTTTCCCTTTGTTCCGATTTCAGATTGGACAAGAGCTCCATGAATTACTCCAGCCCCAGAACCAGTATGCCCTATTTTTTTTCTGTTTCATCTTTATCCATGTTATCTACACAGTCAGGGAGCTGGCTTTCTATTTTATTATGAAACACCACGTACTCTGCTTTGCCGTTTTGTTGTATTTCGTTTTCAAGAAGATTTTCCTGTGCTACCGAAATAGGAAAAACTCACCACAAAACAACTGCCGACTCTAGACAGCAGAGAAAAGCGCTCAAGCAGCTGCCCCAGGCGGCTTCTGTTTGCCCGTTCTCTCATCTCTCTTCCCCTGCCTTTGTGTTCTCCTCCTCCTGCTTTGCCAGCGGATGCTGCTTTGGCCTTGGCCGCCTGAGGCCGGACAGTTCCCTTTTCTTCCATTGCTGTATTTGCCTTTGTTATCCCATTAAAGAATCACCCACTGCAACTGTCAACTTGCAGCAGTCACCAATGTGAATAAATGGGCGTGGGATTTTTAAAAAGGGGAAAATAAGAAATGCAATGATGCGTGTACATGTCTTCTTTGACAAAGAACCATTGTGAGCAGAAATGTTTTTAAGGGTTGGGGGGTCCCAGGGGGGTCCAGTGTTGAACATTGAATTCAAAACAGATCCCCGAGGTGCTGAACGGACACCATTCATGATCATTGTAAACCAGGATCTCCTTCTCCAAGCTGGTGTCTTCCAGAGGACAGACAACACCTCCGATCATGCTGGATGAAGGTGATGGGTGATATAGTCAATGTGGATAATCGCAAGGTCTTGCACTTGGGACACAGGAATAGGTGTCACAGGTACAGGATGGGGGACAAGTGGCTGGAGAGCAGCACTGGTGGAAGGGATCTTGGGGAACTAGTTGACAGCAGGCTGAACATGAACCAGCAGTGTGATGCAGTGACTAAGAAGGCAAACACCACCCTTGGATGCATAGCCAGAAGCGTGGCTTCCAGATCAAGGGAGGTTTTGTTCCTGTCCTACATGACTCTGGTGTGCCCACAACAGGAGCACTGCATCCAGTTCTGGGCTCCACATTATAGAAGAGACATAGCTAGGTTAGAATTGGTTCAGCACAGTGTCACAGGAATGGTAGTCGGGTTGGGAGCTGGGTTGAGAAATTGAGGGAACTAGATCTTTTCAGCCTGGAGAAGAGGAGACTCTTTTGGCAACTTCTAGGTATGTGAGGGGATGTCATGTGGAGGAGGGCTGTGACCTGTTCTTCCCTGCAGTGCAGGGCAGGACGCATTCAATGGGGCAAAACTCAAGGAACCAGGATTCAGGCTGGATGTCAGGAAGTAGTTCTTGATGGTTAGGACCCCTAAGATACGGAATGGGCTTCCAAGGGAGGAGGTTGAGGCCCCATCAGTGAGGCATTCAAGGAAAGATTTGAAAACCACATGTTGGGGACTACATGAGTGGAGCCGGCTGGAGTCGGGGGTCAGACTAGATGGTCTGGGAGACCCCCTCTGACTTGCTTTGTTTCTGTGATTCTACAGACCAGCACACATGGAGAAAGCCAGGTTGGGGGAGGCTGTAGTGGTTCTGGAAGAAGCAGCTGCTTACTGCTGTGGGTGGAGCTGCTTCACTTTAACCCATTTTTCGTGGGCTGTGCTTTGCATGTGGTCCGAGCACCAGGCCTCCAGGCCTTCCTGCCCTGAATTCCAATCACAGAATGACAAGAGCAAAGAATAGTAGAGTTGGAAGGGGCCATGAAGGCCACCGAGTCCAAGCCCCTGCTGTTGCAGGACACCAAGTTACACCCATCCCACTCAGGTGGCTGTCTAGACACTTTTTGAATGTCTCCAGTGAGGGAGAGCCCACAGCTTCCCCAGGTAACAGATTCCATTGTCTGACAGTGAGGGAATTCTTCCTGGGGTCTAGTCTAATTCTGGTTCCTTTTAACTTAAGTCCTTTATTCCGTGACCTGCATTCTGGAATGGACGGGAAGAGACCTTGTCCTCCCTCTCTGTGATAGCCTTTCAGGTGCTCGTCGAGAACAAAGCAGTTTGCGATAAAGCCATTCTTGCAGCCTCTGCTTAGATCAAGGGTCCGGGCCCCGGGCCACTTGTGCCCACCTGGTGGGTTCTGGGGTCGGATGGGGTGTCCCCTGATTGCACGCCTCTCTTAGATCCTCTTAGCACCACTCCCGGTTCCCTGGACCCCTCGAAGCAGTGACAGGGGCCACAAAAGGGAGCCGCAGCCTCTGTCCCCCTCACCCTCTTCCTCTGGGCAAGCTGTGTAAATTGGGCTGAGGGAAGGAGGGCAGGCAAAGGAGAGAGGAGGAGGCGGCTATCAGTGGCTACTGGCCTTGTTGGCTACCCGCATGGGCTACCCGCTTTGCCAGAGGCGACATGCCTGTGTGCACCCGTTGCTGAGGAGTTTGGGCAAGCAGAGGTCTGGAGAGATTGTGGGGACAGCTGCTTTGTCAGCGTGCCGGACTGGATGGACCTCTGTCTGATCCAGCATGGCTTTTCTTATGGAGAGCAGCAGTGAGGAGAAGCTGGCCCCATTCAAGGAAGGCCCTGCCGAATCCCCAGGCACTGGCCTGTTATCAGATGCAAGGCTGATCCGATTTTGGGGATAGGGTCCACCACCACGGACAAGTTCAAACTGAATCCTGGAATAGACAGTCCACTAGATTCCAGACTTGCAGGCCATCGCTTCCTCATGAAGGGACCTGGGGGTGTCCCGGCTCTGTGCCATTTGATCTCTCATGCCTCGTTCACACACGCCGTCCAGCTGCTTGCTGCCACTGCCAACAAGGATGGGCAGGCACGTATCCATCAGCCACGGAAAGGGATCCTGCTTTCCTCTGTATTGGGGCAGATCCATGAGGATGGACGACCAGGCTGGATCCAGGAGCTGCCTCTTTTGGCGGAAGGGTTCTGCTTTGCATGGGTGCCTTGGCTCAGCTCCGGGCATCCCCCTTGCTGTCTCACACCACTGGTCACTACATTCAGCAGAATCCCCAGGCCTGAACCCTGTGCATCACTTCCGGGGGCCAGATGGGGGCCAGTCACACGTGCTGACATCTGGCACTAAGCCACGCACTGCGGCAACTTTTCCAGCCTGTACCCTTCTGATTCTTCCAACCCGTTAGCAGAGGCGGTGTGGCCAAAAGTCTGCAGTACCAGGAGTTGTTTGGAGCACACCAGGCAGAGAAAAGTTGAGTTCTGCTACATCCGGACAAGAATATGCAGCACGGAAATGTTCAGGATATGGAGAACTAGATTGCGGGTCAGGAGAGCAGAAGCATCACTGGCTTCAGGTGGCCAGGAATAATATAATAATAAAAGTCTTCCATAATGTTCGGGCCTCTCAGATACATGTGGGAAAGCATTTAAAAATGTATGGCTATTTCTTTAAGGAGTTTCATGTTCTTTTTTGTAATTAATCGCCGGTTATTAAACTTGGAGATGAAGGAAAACCCTCACAAGGCTTCTGGGTGACCCGGGCAGCTCCTGTGGAGCGGGGTCAGTCAAAATAAACACACAGCTTAAAAATGGCCCGAAGGTGACCCTCACGGGAAGACAAGACATCGGCTGGAGAAGGCAGCTCTGGACACGGACCCGCGGATCTGTCAAGAAACTCCTCCCCTCACGGCCGGAGGCAGCAGCAACTCTTTAAGGAAAGGAGGCGGAGGGGAAGCGGCGCAGCAGGGTTGGAGCTCAGCTGCTCTCGAAGATGGCAAAGGGGGAAGAGGGACCCCTCCGGATTTGTCGCTGCCCCAGCGAGGTTCTCAGGATCAGGATGCAAAGGTGAGTTGCCCGGTCCTCCTCTGAGGAAAAGCAGGAAGAGGACAGAGGCGGCTGCGCCCTTGAGGCAGTCTCTCGTCAGCCTGAGGTCTGCATTCACAGCCGCGTGGGCTACTAGTTCGGGAAATGAGCCGCCAGAGCCGCAGCGCAGTCTTCCTTCTGCCCAAACTCAGGCAAGGAGGGGAGCGAGGGGCACGAGCGGGCGCGGCTCCGTCACCGTGAGCAATCCCGCGGGAGGGGAGCTTGCATTTGGGGCTGCGCGCTGGCGGGCTGCGCCGCTGAAATGGCCTTTGCGACCCCAGAGTTAAAGGATGCCGGACCCCTGCCCGCTTTGCATCCTGCCGTCGTGTAAAGGCTCTGATACTGGTCGATACCATCCACGAACCTGTAACGCGGGCGCAGTAATTGTGGTTCACCTTACAGGGTGTTCCGGGAGTTGCTAAGATAATGTATAGCGATGCTATCAGAAACAGTGCTTAGCATTTAAGTACTCTGCATTTACTGACTTGTTTTTGCAATGAATTTAGATGTTAGCACACTTTGGAGCAGTTGCAAAAAAGAGACTTGCAAAAAGCTGAGTTGCAGCTCCTGCAATCAGTTGCGGGCTTAGCTGATTGGTTGCATCTGTTACTGCTGGGTCGTAGGCAGCAGAGTTTCTGCTTTTTCCATGGCCAGGAGCGCAGTGGCATTGCAGCTGCAAAGGTAACAGAATATCAACAGCAGAGGGTTTTTCTCCTTAACCCAAGCGGGTGGGCAGAAGGTAGGTCTCCAGATGTTTTGGACAAATTCCCAGAAGCCTCGGCCAGCTGAACAATGGTCAGGAATGCTGGGAGTTGCAGTCTTAAACATCAGGCAATCTGCTTTCTGCCTCCTCCTGCTCTAGCGGATACAACCCCGGGGAGAGCTTCACCGGTTGACTTTCCGCCTCTCCTGTTCCTGTAAAAGGCACAGAATCTCGGCTCATGCATGGGATAATACTACAGAATTGTTCTAAGGATGCCATCTTCTGGCACTGACAGGTCACTACATGAGCCCTGCGACATTCAGAAAGTGGAGGGTGGCTGGGTGCTTCGTGTTTGCAGCCACCGTCCCCATTCCTGCTGTCCATGTCTGAGGTCCCATTTGCCCCACACTTACGCACCGGTCCCTGAATGCATGTGGGGGTCACAGGGTGGTCTATTTTGTTCTGTCTTCTGCAACACTAGCAGTGTGCACAGCGGCCCGGGGTAAGCTCACATGTAACTGGGAATGGGGAGAGAACAGTGAGGCGAGCGGGTGCTGTCCTAATTCCTCTCCTGGCCCAACCCGGATTCCATCTGTCCGCTCGGTGACGGTCTCCATGAGGCTATTCTGCCTCTTCTTGGTGCCTCTTCACCACACGTGCCCTGAAGGTCTCTGTCTCTGGGTTGGACTTTGCACTCTTTGCATGTGTGGTTTATCGTGAACAGGAATGGAAAGGCTGCCCTACTT